AAGATGAAGAAGCTGACAAGCAAACTCAAACAGAACGGTGCTACATCTTTTTTTACTTATTAACGTGAAAAATAAAACACAGTTTACCATAGAAATAAACTTTTGAGTGCAAATGTCCGATGAGGTTGTAAAAATCGATAAAAAGATTCAGTAATCATTAAAGATATGACGTGGTTTAATTTTCAATCTTGAGTAAAAGCATTTTAAAAGTATAGACTGAACTAACTAAATAATAACAAAATCTGAAAAGAGTTAAGGAAAAAAAAATCTCAGAAACGTAAGAGACAAATCTCTTTTTACGTAAAGTAATGGTTTTTAATGTTTGTGTAGATAATTCCAGCTTTGCTTACCTTTTCTAACTGCAGCGACTTTGAGTACAATAGACTTCAGTCCTTCGGATTACTACTTTACAGTGGTTGTAGCAAGAAGCCAAAAGTATGGTCCGACTGATTTGGCAGCAAAAGTGTAGCTCCTTTATAGCGGAAAGTTGGCGCAAACATCACGCACACTCAATTTTCAAAAACACGCAAAAATAAAAAATTTAGCTGTCCTTATGACCTTTAATTAATAATTTGAATAGCGCAATGTTTGATTTACGGTTCATTAGAATCCTGAAGAGGTCAAGTTGATTATGATTCGACATTCTTGCAGTCTTCGATCTTTCACTTCTTCGTTTCACTATTAAAACCTAATATTAGACTAACGAACAAACTATGCTTTGGACCAATATCTCTTTACTAACTGTTGTTATCCTTGTGCAATTGACCCGTGTAAAAAATTATAGTTTTGAGTTTTTAAGGAAAACAAAGTACGTGCCGTCAACCACTTCCTATGCTTACTAGCATAACCTTGTGCCTATTGTTCTTACTTTGCTTCTGAATCATATTAAAAACGCTAAAAATAGTTTTCTTGATTTTTAGTAAACAAACCTGAGTTGTTATGCTGTGATCTGCGGTCATGCAATGCCCGTTGAGTATAGTCGCAGTTACCGACTGCTTTTACTTTGGCGAATTTGATTGAAAATAATTTTTTAAACTTTGGCCCAACTTTTTACTACTCGGGTATATAGCACTGAAATTTGTAATTTAAATACAATATTCATTCTTGAAGCAATCAAGACCGTTTTTGGGCGTATTACTAGACAGTTCTATTTTGGTGGAACTGTTGTTAATGGTACAAAAAAATACAATATTTTTCATGTCTTGAGGCACTTGTCGACTGACTTCCTATGCTTCAGAGCATATGCTTTTCCTTACTGGTATATATTTGGCGCATTTTAATATAATAGATTTTAAGATAGACAAAGGCTATTTCAGGGCTTTTTAAGGAAAACAAAATACCTGGTGTCATCCACTTCACATGCTTACTAGCATAACCTTGCACCCATTGTTTTTACTTTGCTACTGAATTACATTAATGACGCTAAATATATTCTTCTTGAGTTTTAGAAAACAAACCTGTGTTTCTATGCTATAACCAACAGCCTGGCATTCTATGCCTTCTAGCATAGTCTTTTAGCGTCTGCTTTTACTTTGGAGAAGTTAACACTTTATTAAAAATAGTTTTTAACCATTCTTTAGATGTCTAAGCCTTGCGCCAACTTTTTACAAACTGGTTGTGTTCTCCTGTAGAACTGAAATTTGTAATTTAAATACAATATTCATTCTTGAAGTACAACGAGAGCGGTTTTTGGACGTAACTAGTTTTATTTTGGTGAACTGTTGTTTGCTAAAAAAAATCCAATATTTTTCATGTCTTGAGGCACTTTGCCGGTTCAGTCGATATGTCTCCTTGGTGTGATGTAGACAATTACCGAATTCCCAAACAAAGTTCGCGTCTACCCTACCCATGCGGGATACCTATGTGACCAAACGGACTTTACTATGTCTCCTTGACGCTTCTTAACCCGTTTTTACAGCATGGAATCCACTAATTCTCACCAAAATTGAGTAATTTTTAGCCGAATAATGGTAAATTACGTTGTTAACTAAAGTCTACAGCCTCTAACATTTTACATTTGGTTACACGTACTCCTCGTCCTGTGGTCTACAATACTTGGCAGAAATCAAATTGGGCGAGTTTGCCTTATTTATTTATTTATTTATTTATTTATTTATTCATATGTATTTGAAATAAAAACATCTATTCCCTACTTTGGTCATAAGCAAAGTTCCAAGCGTTCAGATAGTGTCCTCACTAGTATCTGAACGACCCCTGGAACAGGCTAACTTAATTACAAAAGAAAAACTTCCGATCTTGAAAGAAGCCAAAACAAACCTCCGCAAACAATCAATGATTTGTAATATATTTCTCACGTAATTCCTTATAATATAGCGTGTTTTTAGTTTTATGGTTTCACGATTGATCAAACAAGCATAAAGTGAATGACTTGTGCACCTTCATGTCTAGCACTTCCGCGCCTCAGGGTTTCATTAAAGAAGTTCTTTGGACCATCCAGTAATCAAAGGCAACTTCAGCGACATAATGGAAGTAATGCTTAGGAAAAATCTCGGTTTTCACGTGATATCTGATAAAAGCATAATAACGCGGCACATGAGGCTTTGTGAACAGTGAACTGTCCACTAAAATGGCGACACTATAAAGACTATTTAGACCGAATTTCATTGTGTACGAAACTAGCTTTACCTGGGTTGTTGTTTGCCGGGGGTCAATAATGAAATAGCCTGTGAACAGGCTCTCTGTTTTGGGATGAGGTGAAAAAATCGCGATTTTTTCACCCTTTCCCCAAACAAAGAACCTGTTCACAGGCTAAAGTTTATATGAATATGACCTCATTTTCTGCGTCTTGTCAAATTTGTAAGCTTAGCCAGTAGTAGATTCATTCATGATCGGTTTCACACCTATAAGGGATGAGCTCTTTTTCCAAAATGTAAGCTTAAGTCCATGTGTTTGCCCCTAAAACAGTTTTTGCTCGTTACTATCCCATGGATGCCATTGTCAAAGTGTCGAATAAGAACTTGTCAAATTAAGTTTGAAAACTTTACTGCAGTTATCTCGGCTGCTGTGTATTGAAGCGTAAAAATATTGTTTTGCACTTTCCGAAAGGTGTTGGTTTCTAGATTTTACTATCTCATTTTTTCGAGAATGTACGTGTTTAAAGCCTGGAGCCGCGCTAAAGTACCTTAAATGCTCGTACGGACTGCGAAGTTCACCAAAATTTGCAGAGGTTTAACTCCAACCTTACGAATACCACGTAGGAAGTTCAATATTTTACCTGTTAGTTTTTTTCGCAATTTGAGAAGAAAGACCTTTATAGTTTGAATTTTAGTTTCCTACTTCCGATTTTATTTGTTCAGAAAAGCAAAACTTTTTTAACCCAGAGAGAGGAAAACTTGACGCTTCCACAAGCCATTGAACTGGAACGTTTCAGTATCTCAGTAGTTTATATTTTTTCCAGCTCACTGATCAAGACCCCTGCAGAAGAATGATGCAAAAAGCTTCTTTGAAATGGAAATGTTTCTGCCCGATTATCTGTTGAACGCCTGGAACAAACTAACTCAAAAAAGAAGTGTCGTGTCAGGACTCGCTAATCATTTCCTTCACAATACCCCCCAAAATTAAGTTCAATACCACCCAAAATTAAGTAGATTTGTTTATACGGCAAAGTGCAGTCATTACCAGCCACTTTCATCCTCTGCATGGCCATTTAAATTCCATGGTTTAAATGGTTTCATCTTTGTTGTTTGTTTTTATGCTCATTTAACCTCAGCTTGGCGTCAAACTGTAAACTTGAGTGCACTCCTGATGAATCAACCATTGTTATTTGTGGGCTTTAAAATTTAAATGCCAAACAGTTCTTGAACAGTCCACTTTTTGTGAATAAATATTGTCTGGGGCCTTAGCCACACCCACTCTTGGCCACAAATTAAATCAAGGTGAATACTTCTTGTAAACTTTTGATGCTAATACTAGACCCATAAATAAGTCACAAAAAAGGACAGAAACTTAAATTGGCTGCTATATTTCACCAAACTTAACAATAAGAGCTACCAAATATTTACCCAACTAATAGTGACAAATTATAAAATAAACAACTTTTCACTTCAGTTCGCCTTAAAAGTTCTTAGGTGTGTTAGTTGAATGTGTTTTTATTTGTGCGAGTGTATGAAACTAGTTTACTAGAAATACGTTATTGCAAAAATCTCGTGAAACTGAAAAGGGTCAGCAGTGGGAATAAAGGGAAACAAACAAAAGGGTAAAAATACAATGAATGAAAATGAAAACGATAAAAAAAACTGCAGGTTGCCTCGCCGAGATTTGAACCTGGCCAACCCAACTTCCTCCAGCGCAAAAGGTGAGACAGCAGACCACTTTAATAATCTCAAAGTATTTTTCTCTGCCATTTACGCTGTTTGAACCTAATGTGGAGCTGTGTTTATCACAAATTCAAATATACATTTAATGAAAAATAGCTTAAATGAGTATTTCAAAGCCATTTCGCATTTTTTCCGCGTTTATTCACTCTCTGGCTTTATGACGGCCACTTGATGAACATGCTCATCTTTTCTAGCTCTCGCTGAAGTTTGTGTCACCATTCTTTCAGCGTTTTAAAAATTTTCCACTGCGAGGATTTTTGGCCACTTTTCGAATCGGGCACCATGGGCACCCAAAATGCATGATGACGTCATGCTGAGTGGCGTCTTTTAGAGTTTGTTTGTGGTTTGTTGCTTGGCAACTGCGGATACCAAACCGATAGAAAGAAAGATTTATGACCAAAGCAAAATCGCACTTCGCTTGTGATCCGGGCGCGACAAAATTATAAACTTGCCACTGCGAGAATTATAATTTATTATAGTGTCTTCAATTAGTGTGTAAACACTAAAATGACTGACACTTTAAAGTTACCGTCTATATATTTATCTATCTATCTTCTATGGAATGGAGAAGTTAATAAAAAGCACTATTGACTGCTGTAGACTCCGCCATATGGTTGATAACTGTTAAATGTCACTTTCTAGAGAACTGGTAACCTACTGCTGATGGTGTTCTATGGTGCTATTCTTGGTGTTGCAGCAAAATGTATCTCTGGTATGGATTTATGAGAATTACCTTTCTAAAGCTTTTTTTATTTACACAGTCTGTGGTCAGTGTTTTATACCTAGTACGTGTTTCATACTCAGTCCGTAGTTTCTAGTCCGCATTTTATACTTAGTCTGTGTTTTATAATGACCGATTATGAAAGAGGTCTGTAAGCTACAGTATTACAGTGCATGATCAGCTGTCATGAGTAGGATATAACCCCAGTGGACTGGAGTACAGAAATAACTGCAGATGTCCTGTGTATTTATGCCCTAAGAGAAAGCAAGGGTATGAATTTTAGAAAAGATGGAGTTAGCAGGGTTTTTTTCTTAACAGATGTTGCTGAGCTCTTGCTAGATCTTGGATGTTCTCCTTCCTTGGTTGGTAAGTGTTGGAATATTAATTAAAGATGAGTAAAGTATAAAGCAAACATGAATAAATATATATGTGTGTGTGAGTGCATTATTGTCTAATTTGTTGCCTGCAGGTGGTATTGTGCTTCCGTTGCTGGGAGCAGTACCTGACTCTGCTATCATCATTGTTTCTGGACTTGGTGATGATGCTCAAACTAAGCTCTCAGTTGGAATGGAGCGAGTTGTTAAATAATATTTATAACGATTATAGTCAACTTAAAGATTGTCTCCTTTCTGAACATTCCCGTTGTATTTGCTCATTGCTTTTTTGCTCCCATGGTTACAACTTTTTGCTGTTTTTTGCCTTTGTCTGTTGTGAGTTTTTGCATGGGTACTATATATATTCTAAAGCAGGGATGTTGCCAGGCCTATCGGTCCCTTTGCATTGGCTATTGGCTTCTCATTTGAATAACCCTTGTGTGACAGGTGCCATTAAAGTGGGGTTGTTGACATTGGTGAAGTTGCTATGGTTACCTCTTCATTTCAGTCTGCTCACTTTGCTTACTGTTGCTTGTGCTGTCATTGCAAGGCTCAAAATAATTTTTCAACAGTGGCTGGTGTGCTGTGCACTTGACCAGTCAAAACAACCCTCCAACTAAATGTTTGTCCTTTGACTGGCCGTTAATTTGAGCCCTGCATCACCTGCATCTAACCTCAGTTCATATCCTGTTGGATGGGTTAAATCTCTAGTACTGATTTTTCTGTGTTGACAAAGTTGCAAAACTAGACTATAAAAAAATTAATATTGTTTCTTTGTTTGTGAAAGTAACTTCTCTAAGTTCACCATTGTTTGTTACAACAGCAAGGTTGAAAGTAAACTTGTGTATGGTCTTTCAAACAGTACGCTGCCTGGAAGTACCATCATGTTGTTGACTGCTGCCTGGGCCGGCAGCTTGGTTATCGGCAAGTGTGACCTATAGAGAATACTTCACGGAAAGTGCTGGCGTACGGTATTTATACACGAGTTGGTGACGTATCAGAAATCGAACGAGTGAGCGCAGCGAACGAGTAAGATTTCTGATACAAAAACAACTCGTGCGTAAATACCGTACAAAGCACTTTCCATGTGTATGCTGGGTGTCATGTTGTTGCACAGACACGGGGCTATCATCCGGTATGCATTTGGGGTAGCCTGGTTAAATTCCAGGGGCGGGGTGGGGTTATTGTAAAGACTATGCTCTGTGCTAGAGTGCGGATTTGCTGAGTTTTGTACCGGGGCTTACCCCTATCTTTCAAAGCTCAATGTGTCCCTCAAATTAAGGCGGAGTTGTGTCTGGCTGGGTGTCATGTTGTTGCACAGACACAGGGCTACCCTCTAGTATGCATTTATAATAATAATAATAATAACATAATTTATATAGCGCTAACTCCACTAATTGACCAAAGCGCTTTACAATTCATAACATTAAAATAATTAAAAAGATCCCACTGGTAATAAAATATGAATAAATTAAAAACCTATTTGCAGTCTTATTTATAAAAATATCACAATAAATCCTATTCGAAATTATCAAAAAGTTAAACATTATATGCTTTTTTAAAAAGATCGGTCTTTAAGTGTTTCTTGAATAAATTAATTGTATCTAAACTTCTAAGATCTAATGGCAGCTCGTTCCAGAGTTTAGGTGCAGCAACGGAGAAGGCCCTGTCTCCGTATGTTTTAAGTCTTGACTTCGGAACTGCCAGAAGTTTTTGATCAGTAGAGCGTAGCGTACGTGAACATGTACGATAACTAA